GCTGATAGTTCTTAGGGAGAATGACCCCTAATCTACTCCTGATGATCTTCAAGTGTATAGTCATTCTTAAGCAGCTAAGTCTGGCATTTATTTGGGGGAGACAGCTTGAGAGAAATCCTACTGTTTCCCATAATTACAGTATCCCAATCTGAGCACCGTGGGACTGATCTGGGGCATGCCAGGTGACAGAGCTACACCTGTAGACAGGAAGGACTCAAACGCGACGCGGACTCCTGCCGGTCAAAGCTGCTCCCAGAACCTGCAGGTGCGGGGACCCGTGTGTAAGCAGGGGACCTGGCGTCTGGGCTGTGGAGGGAGGAGGGAGACACCAGGAGTCTAGTTCATCATCTATCAGGACCTTGGGAAGGGAGCACAATGCCGTCGTTCCTTCGCTTAATTTTCTAAACCAATGATAGCATAGCTTGTTTTTAATCCTCGGTCACCTGTTTTCAAATATGAGCAGCCCAGAGACCGGCCAGCTTTCTTGCGCCCCCGGGTCACGTGACCTAGCATAACTTCGGGCTTCCACCTCTGTGCACACCCGTCTGAGACAGGAGCGCGCCGAGCAGCGGTGACGGCGCCTCAAATTCTGCTCCAATTCCAGAACCCCCAGCCCGTGTCTGCCCAGTGGTAGACGCCATGGGATTCGAAGTGTCTGTAAACATCCTCACCTGTGTATGTGTGCATGGGTTTAGAGGTCCTGCCTTAGCCCATTGAGCTCGGTTATTGAGAGAATAGCATCCTCCCCCTAGCGGGCCCGGCTAAAACATATTCGAACAGCTCGGAGCGGCGCCGCAGGGTACACTGGAGCCCTTTCACAGGCCTGCCATCCCATGACCCCCGGAGTGGAGGTTAGCCTGCTGGCCGCCTTGGAGGGTGAGCAGAGCGGGCAGCCACTTGGCTGTGCCAAGAACTCCCTCCGCGCTCGCGAGCGGGCATCTCTCAGCCCCACTGCACACGACTGCCATCCGGCTGGGTGGCCTTCTCTCGGGTGGTTAGAGCACCACTCCGGTATTTGGCTTTTCTTCGAGCTTGCGTTCCAGACTGCCCCCCACCCCCTTTCTTACTCCCTATCTTGAGGCTTTTTTTCGTGGGAGAGAGGCGGCTCAGGGTAGGTCCTTAACCTTTAGGTCACTGGGTCTTTTTTTTTCTTCTAAATATATACCATACTGGAAGGGTAGGGCAAAAATCAAGTCAGAGCTTAAACATTTGGGGAGGCACTGCCTAGGATTTTTACTTTGTATTTGTAGAATCCAAGAAGTCCTGGTATTTAGGCTCCAGGGGCAGATATGGTGCCAGTGCCCATGAACAGGGAGGGTGGGCAGAGAACTGGGATGCCAAATACACCCGCTGGTATATTCCTAATCCTGGTCAACGTAGACGGTGAAATAGACACTATATTGGTTAACTGCTTCCATCGTCTCAGCTCTTTGCCCAAGAAACTCACCCCCATGGGTCCCTGGCTGGTTCCCAGTACATCAGATACAAAGATGAATTTAGTTCCTGCTGACAAGTCGCCCCAATCTTTTTAAGATGTAGTTTACCCCCAAAGGTGCTACAAACCTTTTTACAGGGGAGTGATAGCATTCTGTCATGTCTTCTACAATAGATACAAGGCTCTCATGTGTGCTCACATCTAATGCAGTCAGGTTCAAGTCCCCAACTAGGGTGACAGAAAGCTTTCCTAAAATATGAGAACAAAAACGAGTACCTAAGCCAGGCTTAGCAGAATCAACATTTCTACGGTTTTGGGTCACATGAACGTACACTGTATTCTTGTTTGTTCATAGTAGGGTGTATCTCAAAGTTGTCTTCAAAGGCCCTCATGAAGTTGTATGTTTTTATGTGTTTTGGTATTTGAAAACCCAGGATTGATGGACCTATAGGGACAGCGAGTAAATTAAGGTTTTCTTTTGGGGGGTGGGGGTGGGGGCTGGTTAAAGGGTACGCCATGTCATGGAGTCCAGGAAGAAAAAGAATGTCTGGAACCGTGTTAACAATTGTATAACTCTGCTTGCGACTGAATTATGGAATGATATATGTATTAACTCCCAATTAATTTTTTAAAAAACGTACTCAAAAGTGTGAGCTTTGTCATAAAATACAGCCACAAGGCTCACGTTCTTAGAGGCCTTTGCTCGTCTCTAAGAGGCCATGGTCACTCCTGCCCAACATCTGGTTATCAGTGAACTGTGTTCCCTTTCTCCAAAGGCCACTGAATACCAGGTTTCTTGGAGGAGTTCTGACAAGTCCCAATGCTCTACAGCCCCTACCTAATTCGTATTACATACACGCACAGCAATGGCGTGTGGATTTTTTTCTTGACCACTTCATATGCTATATGATAAAGTCAGTGGGAAGCAGAAAATATTGTCCACTAAATCATGTAGTTGACTGTGGGTAACAGGAAACCTCCCATAAGTCAGTGAGGAGGAATTTCTCCTCCATGGATGCTATCCTCAGAGGCAAACAAGGCCACTCTCTACGCAGACGCCTACGGCCATAAAGGCAGCAATAGGAGCCTCTTCAATTCTTACCCATATGCTCCCTAGGGATGGGAGACCCTTTCTCTCCTGCTCTCCTTGCTGTTAAACTGGTAACACTGGGAAGAAAAAGGCTGTTCTTTGGTCTCTACGTCTAGTCCCCTTTTCAGGAAAAAACAAAATCTCAGCGCCCATCCTGGCAGTTGAAAACTTTTGTACTTCATCCCTTAGTCCAGGATAAGCACAAGGATCCTCTTTTGCACCCTGAATTATTCCCAGGGGCCAGGATCGGTCGCCTTGGGAAATGCCGGTAGTGTGTTGGGGGCTTAGCTTTTGCTGAGATGCAATGTGATGAGCAGATGGGTGAGGTCTCCGGTCACTGTTAGCGTCTGCTGAGTTGGCCTCTCACTGGTGCAAACCCCACAGGCAATGAAATAACACACTGCACCATCCCAGTGAGTATTTATCTTTGACTGAACGGGTGTGATCACAGGGCTTTCCTTGGCTGGTGTTCTGAAGTGGGACACCAGGCCTCTTCCCACGTTGCTGGCGTCTGAAAAGTATCAAAGCAACATGCAAGACTCCGGACGGATGGCTCGGCGGTGGACTGGCCAGGGATCACACCTGGGATTCCTTCTCGGAAGGTCAGGCTTTCCCCACTGACCTAGCCTTGCTTCTTCGGTCAGCATGCATGTCAAAAAAAGAAAGAAAGGAAAACCGAAGCACCAGCAGGAAGGCAGTGGGAGTGCTTTTCCATTCTTTTCAAGAAAACACTTGACTATCTACGGGAGCCAACAGACGTTGCTTTCGATGCAGTCACGGTGCTGCCGGAAGGATCGGGGAAGAAATGAAACTCGATCGAACATTTAATCTGATGGAAAAAAATGGACAGGAAAAACTAAAAGTTCAGATGTTTTTTTATTCAAAGGTTCTCAAAAGAAATAAAACAGAAAAAAGCTAACAATCTGATCAAATGTACAGTTCAAAAATGTCTTTTGGCGTTTTAACAAGTCCTAGGAAACAAAACTACAGAGTTTATGTTGAACCGGACAAATAAGTTACCACTGGCAAGTTTGTGGCACTAGTAAAACAAAAATAAAAAATTAACTCTCTTGATCATATAGATATCTCTATGAAAATCTTTTTTTTTTTCAATCTGTACAAAAGGTCTTTCTTCATAAATTAATTTTTTTTATAATTTAATGGCTGTCTACTATGTGATGTTTAACTGATTTTCTTTTATATGTACAGAGGTTACGTTTCCCAAATCTTACCCAGACGAGTATGGCACTTAGTTCAGACATTTCTAGCAGCAGATTGTCCCTCCCTTGTGACCGAGCGCTCAGATTTCCATCGGAACGAATGCAAACGTATCCAGTCGTGAGGGACCCGGGTCTGTAGAGATGCGGGGTCCGGGGAGGGTGCTGCGTTCAATCTGGACTTTTCACAAAGCAGTCATATTCCAGGGAGCATAGAACCAATAATACCACAACTTAAAGGGAAAAAAAAAAAAGGAAACAAAACCAAAAACACATTTCTCTTATGACTATGTGATTTTCACTAGAATCTAAACTTCTCGGAGCAGCAAGGTCTTTTGAAACTATGAAATGTCACTGACATCTAGAATCAAATACAAGCACAAAATTTAAGAACTAAAAAATAACTCAAGAGAAATAACTGCTTCGTCCCAGCTCCTGAGCCAGGAGGATTTGGTCTGTGGAAACAGGGAGGGCCAGCAACCTGTCCCAGCACAAAGAGAGTAGACTCTGAGGTAGATAACTGATCAGACACAGTTGACCAGACAAGTACACAGTTTTGGAAGACAACTTAATCTACCATTGCTTTGCAGACGCATGAGACGGACTTAACAAAGGAGCCTGAAGAACGGCGAATCATCTGACAGGTCCTAAAGCAAAAGCAACTGTGTATTTACGTATCAGGAATTTCATAGTTTCAAAAACTGGGTTTTTCTTTACACTGAACACTTGTAGTGATGTAAAGTGTGGCACTGCTTGGGTCCAAATCTTCCTTCATGATGGTTTGTTTGTTTGCTTGTTTGTTGGTGTGTGTCCATACATCAGTTAAAATTATAAAACCTAAATGCAAAGGTACAAAAAAAGGCACATTCTCCTAACCGCAAACTGGTCCGGTAAAAATAAAGAGCCCAGAAGATGTGATGCTGAGACAAGTTGGAGCGACTGGTTACTGGCTCTTCGGTCTTTGGTGAAGTTACCTTTAAAAGTGCCAAGTCATTTTTATTTTTATTCTTAATTTACCTAATAGAGAGAGCGCGAGCGAGAGAGCTAGTAGCCAATCACTTTGCTTCTATTCACATCTCAGCTTTATGTTTTGACGATCAACCCTACTTTGAGCGTCTGCCATTCGGGTGCGATTAGCAACGTGTTTTCTCCGTTAGCCAGATCGCAGGCATCCTTTTCGTTCGAAAGCACTATCATTAGTATAAAGAAGGACAAAACATTCGGTGACTCCCCTCCCCCGCCCCCGCCCCTAGCCCCAATGCTACCTACACTAAATCTAGAACATCAAGCTAGGTTTGTTTTTTTGTTTTTTTCCTGAAAAAAGCAAAAAAGACTTTACATTGCATCATACAGCAGATAATCCTAAATCAGTCCAACTATGAGAGGAGACTGTCGGCGTACGGCCTTACAAACGATTTACCCTATTAAAAGTTCCCCCGTCAGAAAATGTGTTTCACACAAAACAGCTTTCCCTTCTTGCATCTCACTACCTTACACATTATGTGAAAAATCATTAAAAACACCTACTACATATTTTAAAAAAGCCAAAATTTCAGCAACTTTTATTGACTACCTGTTAAAAGCCCTATGCTGCTGTTCTACAAGGCATAATAGACCAGCTCATTTGGTCAAAGCGTTCTACATCATTAGTTTGAACTAACTTTACTGAAACAGCTACAGCATCAAAAGATTTTAAGGCAAATTGGAATTCATAGAAAAGGGTAAGACACTTCACACTACGTTGAAAGGAAACACAACCGAACGAAGAGCTAAGGAAAGACACTGAGGGCAACAGTGAACTACAGCAACACTCGCACTGCAAGCACGGAACGCCACTGGTGCAGTCGAACGACTTCAACTCCAGAAAGCCCATTTTGCACAGCGAGGAAAACCCAAACCCAAACAGAACATGAACGTAACCACAACAATCCGGTCATGCACGTGGACAAGTCTTCATGGTCTTTGTGCATACCCAGAAAATTGAAGTTCTTTTTTTTTCTTCCTCCTTTCTTTCTTTTTTCTTTTGTTTTTGCATCATAACATTTGATAAAAATCTTTTTTGTTTTTGTGGTTTTTTTGTGTGGTTTTTTGTTTTTGTTTTTTTTTGTTTTTTACTAAAATAAACCTGTTCAGGGGAACAGCTACTAGATGAATTTAAGGGTTTTATGCACCTTATAGAACTTATAGCAAAAATAGTTTTAGTTGATTTCATTATAAATAACGTTTTCAAGAACCTGTGCAAAACTGTCAATCATTTCCTAAAGCACAATTGATCAGAAAAATCCATGATTGTTCAACCTTCACACCCTTCTTTATGTAAGATCGCCCTTCTGCACATCTGGAAGAGAAAGACAAAAGACTGGATGTAACAAAGCACACAGCTCTTCAACCCCGAGTTCAGGACACGTCCATGAAAGAGGGCCGCGCTGATCGTTGAAGAGGGATTGGGGGTGGGGGGTGGGGTAGGGTCAGTGCTCTTAGATCAATAACTACATCTTCTGGAGCCAAGCGTTGCTTTCAAAACTAGGACTCTTGAAATGCAAGCGGGCTACAAAAAGCTCAAGGACAAATGGCATGCAAAGACCGTGGCAATTTCCCACAAGCGTTCTGAAGTTCCCTTAGACTTTCTTCTCTAAGGGAACCTCAGCCAAGTTCATGTGGAGCTCTAGAAGTTAACAGCAACTTTTTGAGATCAACAGTACACATTGCCACAATGGTAGCTGAGGAGCCAAGGTGGTATAAGCCCGACAGCTATTTGGCTGCAGTGGAAAGTAAAATGTTTTCGTTCAACTAAAAGTTGGAAGCATGATCTGCCAATATAAGGGGCTTTGACATGAATCAACATAGACTCAAGATAGTGCTCATCGTAGGATGCTAGCTGGACAGTTCCTGAATTGCCTTTAGCCTCTGAGAGCACAAGAGCATACTGAGGGGGCATGTCTTGTCTGACTGGACCAGTTTGGTACCTGTTGTTCTTTGTGCATTACAGATTTCGAGGTGAGGGTAAAGCTCACCTGATTTCAGTAGAAGGAGATGATTAAAGTAGCATGACTAATCCAATTTAGATTACTATTTTCAGAAAAGAATCACAGCAATTTTCTTGATTGGAGCCCCACTGTTACGGAGGCCTCTCCCACATACCTCACAGTTACTTATTGGGTTGAAAGGAATATGGAGAATGGTCATTAGACGTCTCTACAGCCACCTGCTGCTGACCACTTGCCTCCTACACAAAACCGGAAATGAGACATGTTAGGGACGCTAGCCACACTCCCCGTGGGCTGCGCCGAGCACTCCCCCGGTACACAGCTTAGAAACAAGTAGTCTCGAAACAAATGTCTTAATGTCATGTAGCACTTTCAAGGTTAATTATTTTGCTTAGTAGTTGTGATGCCTGGAGAGACCCAGAGAGCCATCCATCCTAATGGTTTATACCTGGCTATAATTATCAAACAAATCTTTTATCCTAAACTCTTGGTGTTAGATGTGAAGTGAAATTCAGTATTCTTACCTGGTGGAATCAGAAATACGGTATCCTTGTTTGTTGCCACCCCACACCACTGAGGGGCTGACGCAGCACTTCCTAATCAAATACACTAACAGTTCTATATGGCAAGTCATGAATTACCACGAAGTAGGATACAGATTTTGTCTTGACTTAGTTTGGACTAGGTTTTGCCCCAGGTCACAATTTTTTTAGCTAATAGTTATACACAGAGCATTTTTCTTTCCTTTTTAGTACAGTTTTTCAGAATTACAGATAAGGGATTATGGATTTGGTATTTGTGGATGTCAGTAATTGCTCATAGTTAAATCAATCGGAGGCAAAATAAACTAACAAGCTACAGTACCAAGGCCTTCCCAGATAGGAAACCTCTGCCTAGTGCTTGGGACCCAGCCAACTGAGAAGCTTCCTCAGAAATATTTGAATATATATTGCAGGAGAAATTCTATGCTTTCTGTGCAGTCATATTTAAAAATGTTATTGATGCAATCTTTAGTAGTATTAGGATCTCAAACGTAGTCTTAGTTTTCTTGAGAATCATTTCGTAGGAGACAAAATAGCGTGTTACAGAGGAATAAAATGTGCTCTGAGTTGGAGATACAATTTTGGGGGTGGGGCACATCACAGACGTCAAACCACTTTTATGGACACAGAGACTTTTATTCCACAGTTAAATAACTAGGTCTCTATCTCCTCTAAACTCCATTGTATAGCCAAATATTTCACTTTTGGAAGATTTTTCTTTCGAGTGGCATGCACCCATTTTCAAAACCACTTGCTGCCCGAATGGCCAGGCTGCACCCACCTCCACAGGAAGGGCCGCTGTCTGCATGTGTGCGTACTGCGGCAGGTAGCCCCCCGGCAGAGCTGACGTCGCAGGCATGTACTGCAAAGAAGAGAAGGTGGGATGGGTGATGACCAGCCGTGCACAACTCTTGAGCATCAGGGGAATTTGAAGTGGGATACAAATTATTTGGAAACCTTAAAGAAAAAAATGTAAATAAGGCTGCCTGGGAGCTTGCATGAGCAAATAGGAATCAGTAAATGCCCCATGGAGGCAAAGCAAATGCTTTTAATTCTTTGAGTTTGTCAAACTCAAAATCCCACCTTCCTTCAGATTTCCTACACAAGTAAGTCACGTGGATGAAGGAAGAGCATTATGGTTTCTCTTCCTCCAGATGCCTCTCAGTAACGTGTTATCTTAAAGGTCTTTCCTCAAAGGACCTCATTAGTTTCCAACGTTCTCTTGAACCAGTATTGCTTCTATAGCTGGAGACCCAAGGGGCACGTGACTTAATTAGATCTTTAACAGGTCATGCAGGAGAGGAAATGGAGCCTCACTTTCCTAATGCTGACAGCAATCCTGTCCCAAAATCAAATTTTTTCTAAGTCGCTTGCACAGCGGACATGTGTGAAGCTGGCTCAGCCTTCCCACGAAGCTGCTGCTGGCTTGCAGTAGAAGAGGGGGACACTCATTCCCTTGTGTTCTTGGAAACCACCCCAGCTACGGACTGAATGGCAGACTAACTGAGGAGACGGTCTTGGTAGCAGCTCAACTTCAATACTCGACAACCAAGGTCACTGGGCTTTGAGGAAATCAACCATTACTAAGATTTGGTGCCCCCAAATTCCGTAAGTGATGAAATGAGCCAATACGGAACATGCCTCTGTCTTACCACCACGTACTGGTGCCCCTTTTGGCTGGTGAGACCAGTTGTACAACAGGGTCCTGAATGGTCTGATTCTAAGGATATAATGTGAATGCAATTTTTTGGTAACGAGTGATCCCTAAAGGACAGACTTTTGCAGTCTATCCATTCATCAGGACACAGCTGAGTAATTCCTTTGTGGGAGTGAGAGGGGGTGAGCAGTCACAACCTCTGTGATCCTGGTGTCCTTAACTTGATAGAAGAGATTCGGGCTGCATGAATTTACTCTGCTGGCCTAGACACACGATATTAATTTGCCACCTACTGTTCCGGTGCCGCCTAGTGACAGGTGACTCATCTGCTGGGCCAACGGGCTGATCACAGATGCAGGCTGCAGTGACAGGGTGTGCTCCATCGAGGGAGTCAACACGGCACTCTGGAGAAGTCGGAGACGAGAGCAATGTTAAGAACAAGGGAGGCAGAGAGCCATGCGTTTGTCATTACCTTTTGCAAAGGAAATGCCTTAGCTTGTTCAGGAATGTGAAACAAAAATAACCGCCCCCCACATTCCCAAGTGGAATCGTAAACCATTTCCTAAAACTCTTGTTCTGGGGTGCTTTTCTAAGAGCATTAGGGGAAAGTCTACCCTGGCACCAAATTCACAGAAATCCTTCCAATAAACACCACTCCCTTCACTTACTAATAGCACTTACTTTACATCACTTTACTTAAGAGCAGCACAAGCTAGTCCAGCAGGAGGAGCTATAATCAGATATCCAGCTATAGGATTTTGGGTTAACCCAAATACAGTCTGTAGTACTTCAAAAAAGCCAAAGGGCTTCAAAAAGTCCATAGGGGTGGGGTAGGGAAAGGAAAATGAAATTTTCTCATCTACTTTCGGAAGCTCTCTCTTATATTTGGGTTTACACAGTGATTTCTTAATGGAATTAAAAACGCAATCACAAAACAATGTGCTATATTTAATATTGTGCACACGGTGTCTTGGATAGCAATGTTCTCTACCGCTAAGTCATTTGCTTCAAGATGAGGCCGCCGGGCTCCATCAAGGGCAACTCTCTCCACGCTCAGTGTTTCTCAGAGCTTGAAGCTGCATGTAGCTGGGGGCGCTGTGGGATGCACGTTGGGTGTGAGCCACCCTGTCAGCAGTTTGAAATCAACAGCCACTCTGCAGGAGTAGGATAAGCCTCCCACTCCCTTACAGAGTTAATTTCAGAAACCCACGTGGCAGTTCTAGCCTGTCCTATAGGGGCACTGTGAGTCAGCATCAACTTGGCAGCAGCAAGTTTCGGATTTTTGGTTTTTGGTTTTAAGCTGCATTTTGGCGCTGGGAAGTAGCGTAGATACTTGAGTATGAGCTGATCAGCCGGGGCACCTAATTTTACCACAAAAACTGCATTAAAAATGTGCTGAAAAACTCGACTTATACCCGAGTACATACGGTAAATCAGATTTAGGTACGTTACATAGTGCAATTTTAGATTCTTTTATTTCATGTGACAAAATTTCAGTTAGTAACAGTGCCGATGAAATGTATTTAAGAAAACAGAAGATGGGACTAAACCTCCCCTATAAGCCAGCCTCTGTAATAAGAACACTGTTAACAATGCCAGCATCCCCTTGCCTGGATATGCTCCTTTCATCTGTTTTCACACAGTTCCTTTTTAACTTAAATTCTACTGGAAACATTCACCTAGGTTATGCTATAGCTCCATAATTGTTTTTTCTTAAACTCTCTTGCGTTGTGAAAAAAGGTTTATTGACATTTAAAGGTTCGATCACAGGAGAGTTGTGCCATCATCACCTCAGTCAGTTTTAGAACATTTTCTTCTTTCTCATACCTGTTCCTATTAACTCCCAATTCCGCTCAACCTCTCTTGCTATCCCACTAAAAAACGATTAATTCAGTTGCTGTCTTTATTGATCTATGGGTCCTGGATTTCATATACAGAAAAACATAAAGGACAAAAAAAACCCCATCACCAACAATATAAAACAGAAAACCCTCAATAAAAAATTAAGTAGGAAATATTAAAAACTAGAATAAATTTAAAATGGAGAACAAATGGTAAGGTGTTAAAATTTTAACCTATTTCTATATTAATCTGCTTTCCAATGCACTATTTGATAGCAAGGCTATTCACTTCCCCGTTCCATGGTCAGAAGGGATTCAGCCGAGAGAAAGTTACTCCACCTGGGGACCCTGTCACCTATGGCCTCAATTCCATCCTCTAGTCTTAGACTTTACTATCTACAATCCTTGGATTGCACAGCACAATGATCATTTTTAAGGGTTACATTGATTACACGGTTTAATGGTTACATAGGTATATAAACTATATATATTAAAAATTTATTAGTCCTCCTTTTCTGGATTTTGAGTCACATCTAATTTTCCTATATATTATTTGTATGGATTCTACCATTTCTCTTGCCTTTTCAATCACTTAATCACCTGAGAAGGCAACTATCCTGACACAGCGACAAATGTTAACACCTATTTTTGGTGACGTCATATCTTATCCCTCCATCACACTGCTATTTAGTGAGGACACTGAAACTTATAATCGTGAGGATGCTATTTATAAAGCTGAGGACAGAGGTAAGCATGCAAGTTCTTTTTTTTTTTTGGAACCCTGGTGGCTTAGCGATTACGTGCTGGGCTGCAATCTGAAAGGTCAGTAGTTCGACACCACCAGCCTCTCCGAGGGACAAAGATGGGGCTTCTCCGTCTGTAAAGAGCCATACTCTTAGCAACTCACAGGGGCAGTTCTGCCCTGGCCTCCAGGGTCTCCTATGAGTCAGCATGGACCGTGAGTTTGGCAGTGACTTTGGTAGCTCAGACCTGTAGCTACTGGCCAGGTGTCTCTTTGGAACCAGGGGAGACCATGACTGCTTTATCAAGAACTGTTGGGTCCTCACCATCTCACTGCCACCGAGTCCATTCCTGCATATATAGACTCTAGAGGACAGGGCAGAACTGCCCATGCGGGTCTCCAAGACTGCAACTCTTGGTGGAGTAGAAAGCCCTGCCTTTCTCTCAACGAACGGCTAGCTGGTGGTCTCGAACTGCCAACCCTGTGGTCAGCAGCCCAATGCATAACCACCACGGCCACCAGAGCTCCTTTGTTGGGTCCTGAATGAGGTCAAATATAAAAGGGCAATAATGCCAACAAGAGCAGGTTGAGGGAGAGTGGTGAGACAGCACAGAGGATTTGGAGCTGAGGCAGCAGCCCTGACAGGCACCCGCATGCAAGTTCTTTAATTTTGGTTTTAAGCAATTTAAACTCCACGAGGAATGGAAATGAATTCTCAGAAACCTTCTGCACACACTTACTAGCTCCTTAGAGATGTTAAACTGAGCTTTGTGTATCTGTCTCTGAAAGTTTTTTAAAATTGTGTCAGAGATAATTGTTAATATAGTTCAAAATAAAAACAATTAAAAGTGATCAAAATGTATGTGGTAACATAAAAATAGTTCAGAAACCCAGAATATACTGAAGGTGTTTCCTGCTCTCCCCCTGTCCTCTCCCATTCTTATCAACTGTAAGAGGATTAGGAAAACCCTCAATTAAAAATTGGTTGATTTCTGGCATTCCAATCTGAGAGCAGCACAAAATACCAGGGCTCTCCATGGCCACACCTGTTATGTGTGTGAGGATTCTTGGGCTTGTAGATTTTAACTGTGTATATGCATGGTCTGTAGGCATACACACACATGCCAGGCGTAAATCACCAGATCTCTCTTCTATCGTGCTATCAACTGACTGTGTGTTATTTCCTGAGAGACGTCAGGAATCATGTGTTCTTCCTAAAACGCTTGATTTGTTTTTATCTTATCCACCTTCCCCTTTGCTCTGGTTACTAGAAAGCCTAGGCTGACATGTGTGGCCCTTCTATGAAAGGTCACAGGGTTGGGCATTCTAGCTTTGTTCATGCCTGCTGCCTACCCTTATTTTTAACGCTAGCTTACGGCGATTTCTTATGCCTGTATCTCTAGGGACACGAGATTGACATGTGACTGAAACGGCACAGTTCCTTTTAAAAAACAACGTATTTTAAAACAACATAATGATACACTATTGCCTTATAAATGAAACTCTGGTACCATATATTTATATGAAACTTATTATATTTAATTTTTTATAACATTTGGGGTATTATAAGGGTTGAATTATTCTTTTTTAAAAAAAATCATTTTATTAGGGGTTCATACAACTCTTATCACAATCCATACATACATCAGTTGTGTAAAGCGCATTTGTACATTCATTGCCCTCATCATTCTCAAAACATTTCCTCTCCACTTAAGCCCCGGGCATTAGGTCCTCATTTTCCCCCTCTCTCCCCGCTCCCCCCTCCCTCATGAGCCCTTGATAATTTATAAATTGTTATTTTGTCATATCTTGCCCTGTCTGACGTCTCCCTTCACCCACTTTTCGGTTGTCCGTCCCCCAGGGAGGAGGTCACCTATAATTCCTTGTAATTGGTTCCCTCTTTCCTACCCACTCTCCCTCTACCTTCCCAGTATCGCCACTCACACCACTGGTCCTGTAGGGCTCATCTGCCCTGTATTTCCAGTTCCTATCTGTACCAGTGTACATCCTCTGGTCTAGCCAGACTTGCAAGGTAGAATTCGTGTCATGATAGTGGGAGCGGGGAGGAAACATTTAGGAACTAGAGGAAGTTGTATTTTTCATCGTTGCTACATCGCACTCTGACTGGCTCGTCTCCTCCCCAAGACCCCTCTGCAAGGGGATCTCCAGTGGCCTACTCATGGGGTTGACGTATTCTAAGGGTTGCCTGGGTCAGTCAGCATGACAATATCTGGGGCACTGTTTGTCATTACATTTGATGTTTACTTTCCAAAAAGTATTTGACTATGTTTATAGTTATTACTGACATAATGCTTTCATGAATGAAACCAATTGACGGTAATTAATACTCAATTTACGTTTGAGTCAAATGGATGCGTATTTGTGGAGCTAAGTATATATCACACAAAGAACTTCGAGATTAGAAGGCTTAGAAGAAAATGAATTTGGATGTATGTATTTGTCTCATTAAGTGGATACAAGTCTACATAAATGGTAGGGGCAAATGTAAACGGTGTCTATTATTTTTCATCGAGGAAATCGAAACGTGTCACCGTGAAGTCATTTCTACGCCTACTGTAAAACTTTTACAACCTGTTTCAATGAACCCAACCACCTGCAGTTACATATCTCTGCAAAGAACAGTAGGTACACCATGTAACAAGATGGTGTCCAGCTCAATCAGCTCGAAAAAGTAACACGGAAACCCAGTAAATGCTCACATGACTAAAGCAATCACAGTTTTCACTCCATATAAACAACATTTCTACTTTAGCATTTACAATTTTCATAGAGAGTCTAAGTAACACTGGTGACATTCTCTAGATTTTGAAGATGTTATAGCTACATTAATCAGGGTATAAAAAATGAGACCTGCCCTTGGGGTGAGTGGAAGGGAGGTGGAAATGACAAAATTAAAAAACCCCGAGATTCATTTTTTTGCTCTTTGCTCTTAAAAAATATTTAGCCTCTCATATGAATGATCTTTTAATGAACTGCTATGGTTAAGAAAACGGTGCCTTGCCTCCAGTCTGATAGAGTTTAACTTCTGAAAGCTTGTAAATTTAACTTACTACCGTTTGGTGGAAGGTTTACAATGAACTTGCACATTCTCATATTCTTTCCCAAATCTTTAAAAAGTCAGCATCGATTCGATGGCAGTGAGCTCTACTATTTTTGGAGAATGGTTTTAAGCCAAAGACTGTGTGTTCAGGGTTTACTTCAAACCACGAGGCCATTACGAAGAGACACTTACGGGGTGCTGCAGGATATAAGGTTGAGGCTGCATCCAGGAAGGGCTTTGCACCTGGAAAAGGATTTTGAAAGAAACCGTGATTTCCATTGGAATGCGGACCTATTTCTCTAGAACTCTCTTTAATCATGTTAAAAATCGACAGAAGGAAAATAAGGAAATAACACTATCAATGATTAAAAAGATTAAGGTTGTTAGAGTTCTTGGCGAACTGGTCACTCTGAATGGGATGAAATGATTATTTAGAACCAATTTCCATTTGCCCACTCAAGAAGTATTTACTGAGTATCAGGCACCAAGGTTAAAAAAAAAGAGAGTAAGACATGGGCCCCACCCCTGAAGAAGTCTACAGTTTAAGCAAGGGAACTAAATACACAAACTGTTCAAATAAATAGTGAAAAGTGTTACAATCAAGGTTTGAAGTAGGTACTTTTGGAAAAACCAGATGAATGAGGATTCATTCCAGCACATCTTATGAGAAACTAACCCTTAAAGAATGTGCTTCTTTATTTAGTTAAGAATAACCGAATTCAATCATTCTTTGATCTGTAGGACATTAGGTTTCAGAAATCTCGTCTGATGTTAACACTTTCTAGTTAGTGTGAAAAATAAAATCTGAATTCCAATTTTAGAAATTAAGCTTTAGTACCAGATGTTGAGATCTGCTTTCGAAAGGGCATCCACACAGTCGACCCTCGGTACTGAGAAATACGATGAGAGTCAGGTTCTGTGGCTGAAAAGCAAGCGTGGTAGGGTGCCACTTCAAAAAGAAAGCCAATGCGTGTATTTCCTGATGCCCAGAGCTTGGCAGCGTCCATTACAGTTTTAAAATATGTTCCAGTTGCTAATTGTTAACATCAGGACCCGCTGTGTCTTATCCCTCACTACGCCATTCAGAGGTGCTACAGAGAGGATATGGGGAAGAGGCATGGGGGAAGAATGTATTGCGATTTACCTTGATCGCAGAGCCCCGATACTTGTTTTCTCTGGTTTCCTTTGCCACCTAAGGCAGACCAAAGTTAAGTGCTTCTGCCTTGTTAACATTTCCGTTAGCTGGACTGCAGCCTTTCCCCCTGGGGAGATGGGTGGGTTCTTGCAGATGCCAATTTCTCAAATCCAATTACATCAGCATATGGGAGGAGAGGCCCACTCCAGCATGAGTGCAGGGCTGTCACCCGGCGGAGCACGGGGACGCGAGCAGCTCCCGACAGAACCCGGCCTGGGCCAGATGCCCCCACTTTCTGTCTGCTTCGTGGTCTGAAGGCGCTCAGCGCTTGTAGCGTTATGGGGTTAGGGAGCTATGACATCTAATCCAAGTTTCTTTCTGAAGTAGCAAATCAGCTGCTGTCAATTTCTAGTCCTCACTTTCCCCTAATTATAAAATGGGAATAATAATCTTTGTTCTGTGAAAGCTATACCGTGTTGGGCCCTTGACCTCTTGTAGGCCACGGACCCCTTTGAAAACCTGATGAAAGACACAATCCTTTCTCTAACTAACCGTGTACACGAGAGCAACACTTTGCACACAGTTTAGGGGATCACAGGCTATTTAAAGCTCATCCACGGACCCTGCAGGTTCCCCTGAACTCACTGGTAGAGAATCAAAGCTTGGACGGAGTGTGTAGGGGGGCAGCATTTCACTGTCCTACAAACCAGATGAAATTCCTGAAATTCTTCCAGGAAGCACAGAATGCCCAGGAGGAGAGAGCAGGCTGGTGAAACAGTGGTGTAGTGGTTATGTGTTGGGCTAACTGCAAGATCAGTTCAAAACCACCAGCTGCTCTGAGGGAGAAAGGTGGGGCTTTCCACTCCCGTAAAGAGTTAAGAGTTTGGGAAACACAGGGCCAGTCGACCCTGTCCTGTAGCGTTGCTTTGAGTAAGAATCGACTAGATGGCAGGGAGTTTCCACCCAACCATATCAAAAATCTATTACCAACACAGATCTCCTAGTTTTTTTATTCTAGGAAATGATTCTGAGCCCCAAATGCACCCTGCTTTTGCAGGAAAAAAAGGAAAACGAGGCAGGGGGGAGGGGGGCGGCGGCGTGTTGGTGGTTTTAATAGTGGGTATATCTGTAGCAGCACAGATTCAAAGTAATAGATGCATGTTCTCTCGTTTGCCTAAGAATAAACTTACGGCCCCCTTTAATTTTAGGGATGCCCAGATACGGCAGAGGTTTCCAAGTTCAGATCATTAAGAAAGAAGACTAGCTCTCAACGTCAGACCCAGGAAAGGTTTACTTGGGAAAATAACAGGGGCAAAGCTCACTGATGCTTATGCGGCTAAAAAAAAAAAAGGACAAGTTTTAGGACTAAATGAATTAACAAGGCATTAAATGCTTTAATATTATGCCAAGCTCATCAAAACATCGGCATAAGCCCCACACCCAAAGAGAGGCCCCCCAAAAAATAAAATAAATAAATTAATGACAACCCGGGGAAAGAAAAGGGGCTCAAAGCAGAGGGAGGCCAGGAATTCCATTTTAAAACTTGAATTCCAGATTGTTCCCCAAACTCAGAGGGTTGACAGCTGGCTACAATTTCACCGATCTAAATGACTGCATTTAATCATGTTATGTAATGCTTCTTTTAATAGTATCTTTTTGTTATTTAATGCTACTTTCATATTTTGAGGAACAATCAGCTATATGATATTGCTTAAGTTGACCAATTCACTATCAGAAGTATAATAAGCGTGCTCTTCTCAGCCAGCTAATCCCACGTGCTAATGATGATAATAATCACAGATAGCTAACATTTATTGCTGAGCTCTTTATGCACATCATCTCATGTCACTGTTGCAACCCGTGTATGACAGAAAAGCTATTATTATCCCCATTTTACAGATGAGGAAGTGAAGGCCTTCAGAAGTTAAATAACATAGCTATTAGATTAGACACTGTAGTTGCCTAACCCCAGAAATCAGGGCTACAACATCTAATTCAGTTGTTTCACAAACAAGAATATACAAAACAATTTAGTTTATGTCACACAGGATCTCAACAATCAACAAAAGAAATTATACTTCCAAGTGACTGTCATGGAACCCATTAGACTGTTCATGCCTGAGCCACAGCAATACCCCAGTAGAGGCACTGGGAGACAGGACAAATGCATGCACACCCCTGGGTTCACGGAGAAGACGCGCTAACCCTGCAATAAAACCAAATGAGTATTACAACAAGGTGCTTAATGAGATCTTGTTTCCAGGTTGGGAATATAATTTAAGATAAAGCCTCCTGCCAAAATAACCTAAAGAGGGAGCCACCTTTTTTTGGCTTCGAATCTCACTACAGTGCTCATTTAACATTACCTAACAGAGTTACGCATCTCCCCTTATGTTTTTTTTTCCTCTTAAGAAAGGTTTAGTATCCCGAGTATATTTCTTTTTTTTTTTAATCAATTTATTGGGGCTCATACACAGATCACAATACACAGATCAATTGTGTAAAGCACATCTATACATTTGTTGCCCTCATTATTCCCAAAATTCGCTTTCCTCTTGGGTTCCCGGAATCCGCTCATTTTACATCTCCCCTTATTAATACGCTCACTTGTTGCACTGTCAGTTTCTGCAGACAAATGAGCAATGGCAGGTGTATACATCTATGACTCTTCTTAATAAAAAAACCCTAATGCCAATTCTCTTTAAGCTTCAGTTTCTGGGTCATGCGGGGTGCAAAGGCAAGGTCTACTGTAGAGGAAGTATCTGGGTTCATCCTAATTCAGTCTCCTTGCCTTACATTCCCCTGCACACTTACGCCCATCACTGCTTCAAATAAAGTGGCGGCTTATTCTAACCTGGGGTCGTTAGCAGCACGACAGTTCACTATGAATGCAAACATTTTAAGACACATCAAAGTGTCGCGGTGACCCAGGGTCGGCAAGATGGCATACTGTTGATGAACCCTAAAGGTACAAACCTGGTAAGCAGACACAGGAGATGCAATATAGGGTGTAAGAGAAGTTTGAGTGATCATTCGGTTTGTAGCAATACTGTATGGTGAAGGATAAAATCTAGAACAAACACAAAAGTCTTTATTAAGTAATCCTTTAAATAGAATAATTCACGGAACAAATGTCTGATATCCTCCACCTTCAGTCTCCCTCCAGTCACTATGAATTGATCGTAAAGACATACCCGTTCTGAAGAGCAGCTGCAGTTGGGTCATAAGTAAGGGTCATTCCAGCCTGTAGGTAAGAGAAAGAAACAGACACATCCATTTAGAAAAGCATAGTTTAAAAAATTCCATTTCTTAGAAATGGTACCCAAAACAGAGATGGGGGATAGTGGCATTTTATGAAGAGTTTGTTAGACAAATGTAATGATCGATTCAGAATTAAGCTCCAGAGTGTCGCTGTCTCATAGGTGAGCCAACAGCTACAGGTAGATACTAAGTTAAAGGTAACAATTCTGTCCATCTAGCACACTATTTACAGTGGAAAGCTACCTGTGGCCAGTGGCTATTATTGAAGAGCACAGATTATAGAGAATTATCACTGGGCAGAGGGCCTTTCTAGAAATTCCTGAGCTAGTCTGTCCTTGAGAAGAATACAGAGAACTGGTGGGCTAAGACTTTTATTAGGGAAATACAATTTCCCCAAAGAAGACTGTTCAAAAGAATTCAGGAAACTACCCCATGACAAACACACTATTCATTTTACATTTAAAAATTAGAATATTATTTAGGACAATTTCTGAATCACAGTAAAATCAAAGCCTTTGGAGAGACCATGACACTTACACCAAAAGAAAAAGAAAACCAAAACCCTAAATGCTAATCTGCTTTGAAGTATTTCTTGTAGCAATTTAAAATGGTTTTACAATTTTTATGTATTTAACTGGTCAATAGTTAGTTCTATCATCTTCCGCACCAGTTGGCTAAAATAGGTCCATACGTGGACCCGTTCCAAAGAAAGATGATCTAATAGAAGGTGGGAATTATTTGAACATTATCATCAAGATCACATGCAAATACAATTTTGTTGAAGATAATTAAAAAATAGTTCCAGCAGGACATTGCCATAAATTCTAACTGAGTTGAGAAGATGGGTGCAAGGATAGAATTTCTGTCTCAGATGAATTTGGGCTGAAAGCAGAGAATACCAGAAAGATGTTTCCTTGTGTATTCGTGACTCTGCAAGGCGACACTGTGTGTTTTAAAATCAGGAAAGGTGGGCCATGGTGGTAGCCTTTCATCATAATCAATCTGTATAATGAACAAATAATCCAAGAAGCTGGACTATATGAAGAAGAAATGGCATCAGGATTGGAGGTAGTCTTATTAACAGGCTTATTAATATGCAGATGACACAACCTGGCTCTGGAAAGAGAAAGCTTGAAGCTCTGATGAGGGTCAGAAACAACAGCTTTCAGTATGGATTACACATAACTAAAGCCAAAGTCCACGTAAGTGGGCCGATAGGAAACTTCATGTTTAGCCAGAAGACTGAAGCTGTCAAGGATTTCATTTTACTTGGATCCACAATCAACATGCATGACAGTAAAAACAGTCAAGAAACCAAAGATCTGGGCAAATCTGCATATGATCTCTTTACAAGTGTTCAACAGCAAAGATGTCACTCTGAAAACCAAGGTTTTTTCTACTCAAGTAATAGTATTTTCAATGGCTTCATTTGTATTCTTCTTTTTTGTAAAAATAATTTCATTAGGGGCTTATACAACTCTTATCACAACCCATACACACATCAATTGTGTAAAGCGCATTTGTACATTCATTGCCCTCATCATTCTCAAAACATTTCCTCTCCACTTAAGCCCTGGGCATTAGGTCCTCATTTTCCCCCTCTCTCCCCGCTCCCCCCTCCCTCATGAGCCCTTGATAATTTATAAACTGTTACTTTGTCATATCTTTCCCTGTCCGACGTCTCCCTTCACCCACATTTCTGTTGTCCATCCCCCCCTGCGACATATAGTTCCTTGTAATCGGTTCCCTCTTTCCTACCCATTCTCCCTCTACCCTCCCAGTATCGCCACTCACACCACTGGTTCATTTGTATTCTATAGCATGACTAGAAGCGTCTATGTATGGAAGAATGAAGGTCAGGATGTTCCTTGAAAGTGAGGATGGAGGGAGAATACCAAAGGCCTATTTCCAATGGAATTCCCACAAATATATTTTGGGCTCCCACTGTCATCCATAATCTTCTGCAAACCAGATCCTCTTAGGCTCTGATACTAATCCCTCCTTGGACGGCAGGTTATATGATTTACAATCCTTCAATGACTGATGATGGTGTGCTTCGTCCATGCAGACTTAGTTGACATCTCACTTAGATGGCTGCTTGTTTGGAGACAAGCCTTTAAGACCCCACATGCTATTTTATTTGATAGCTAGGCACCATCTCATTTCTTCACCACATTTTGCTATAGCACCCATATCTTCTATGTTCTTTTCCTGAGGGCAAGTATCGAGCAGGGTCATGATATAAGAACTGAGTGAGGATGTCCAGAAGGTCACTGGCAAAGAGGACTCTTAATGAGCTGGACTGACAGGGGGACTGCAATAATAGGCTCAGACATAGGAATGATTGTACAGGTGTAATAAGACTGGGCCGTTTCATTCTCTTGTATGTAGGGTCACTATAGTTGGAACCAACTTGAAGGCAGCTAACACCACCAACACTCTTTTGTCCATCTGAAGAATCATCACTCCCTAAGCAACATATGCACGTGAAGCATTTCAAGTTGACACCACTTGTAAGAAAGTTTGACCTTGGCATCTCTTGTGATCGCGGCGGTCAAGCCAACATGCCTTTGTGTTACGACATAACATGCACATTGAAGTTGTAAGAAAGGACTTACAAGTCTCACCTCTCCTTCTCTATGCCAAGGTCTTCCATTGGGGATGTATTTGTTCGGATTCTGTCTCTTCTTCTGTCCTCCATCCGCGAATTTACACAATAAAGGTTCGGTAGGAGCTGAATAAATAGCAGAAAATACCAAGACGTTAAAATTATGTGTGTATGGATGACAAGATAAATATAATTGAATTCCTTATATGAACAGGCACCATGCTAGTGCAATGAAGCAAACCACAGTTTACTGAAAACCCTTACAGAATTACCCAATGGTGAAAGTGGAGAAGGCAAAGGAGTCTTTTGCATAAGCCTTCATTCTGAGCTCGCTCCAATTCCATCTCTGCACATAAGAGCCAACACCCCCTTCAGATGTACATATGCTTGTGCCGTCACTTCCCAAACTTAAAAAAGCTCCTCGCCATAATTCTTCAGAAAACCCTTCTCTTTCCCCCGATGCTCATAGCACTTTGGCTTTTAATGACAGCATTTATAACAATCTGAGTGTGGTTATTTATGTATGTAGGTGGATAGGTTTCCTCTGCTACAGTATACGACCCAGGGGGGGCAGTGACATGGCTTTTTTTAAATCCACCAGTGTATTCTCAGTACCTAAAGTCTCATGCATTGTGTAGACAGTTATGAACTCTTGGCTGAATATATTCAACCAACCAAACCCACAGCCATAAAGTTAATTCAGACTCAGGGGTAGGTGGGTTTGAACCACTGGCCTTGCGGTTAGCAGCCCAACACACGATCCACTACACAACCAAGGCTCTGCTCAATGAATCTAAGTAGGTCTAAATCATTTGGCTTTGACCATGGCATTGAGGCTGTCTATTGGGACAAGGCACATAATGCCTGCACACTCGATGTAAAGGCTTTTCTGTACGTTGAATCATGTGATTTGGTGCCACTTTACTATCTGTCCCACAATATGATCTCAGGAACAACCCAAGAAATTCAAATGCAAAGGCAATAGATGTGTTACATTATGAGGATATATTTTCATTGGCTTTAAGAAAAAGGTGACACTACATGCCGTCCAGGATTTCTTTGGCTTTGCTTTTCCAGAATGTTGTGCCTTTTCCTCTATGTTTCTAGGTAATGTAATAAAGGCAATCACACCCCTGTCTGGTTCCTACATTCTGTCCTTTGTCTACTGTAGAACCATGATTACTACTTTCACATTCTGCTTTAAAGTCAAATAACCATGAAGAGAAAAATATTACTTGTGGAAAATTTACTCCTTTCTCCTTTACCTCTCATTATCCTAATTCATCTCTTATTTTATATCACTATTACCCACCCACTAATGACAGGGTGGAAGCAATAGTGCCTTTCAACACTTCTCTGCCAACCAAACAAAACAACCCCAATTGTCATTCCTTCTCAGTGAGCCGTCTAGGCTGTTGCTCGGCACTCCTTCTCTAGTCTCTGCAGTAGAGGGAGGGGCTGGGATGCGAACTCACAGCTGGCCTGGCTACTGTCCTCTAGGCGTGAGGAAGCAGGAGCAGAAACTTAAGGCCTCTGATGAGAGTAACAGAGAGCCTGGGCCCGACCATGCACACAATTGTCTTCTGTGTGTCTCCTGACTTCCTCTTCTATTTATAGGCCAGGCTTTCGTAAACTAGGAACGTCCACTTAAAATCAACTGCGTGTTAGAACTATACTCCTTATCTTTTCAAGAACCACCACGGACTGTTCTGGAAAAGTCTACCTTCACTGACAATCACTGATGGTAAAGAAGTACAATGGAGGGAGGGG